TTCTTTTAATCTCTCTCTCCTCTCTATATATATATATGTTTCTTATCATCTATACACTCACCTTTCATCTTTTTTTTAAATACCCCCTCACTTTCTTTCTTTTATTTTATTTTATTTATTTCTTTATTTTATTTATTTATTTTTTTTATTAAAAAAAAAAAAAAAACCGAAGCAGAAGAAGACGACATGCACACCAAACCATCTTTTCTTCAATCTCAGGGATCAACCCCCAATCACATTTTTTACAGACAAAAAAAAAAAACAAACAAAAAAAAAAAATAAAAAAAAAAATACAACAAAACACATCCACAGGCGGGATTTTTCTTCTCTACTCTGCTGCGGGGTCTCTTTTCTTCTTGCCTCGCCGTCCTGGGCGGCCCTTGACGGTGTTGCCTCCGTGTTTCCCACTCCACTGGGCACGATCACTCCACCTGCTCCTCCACTACAGCTATATGGGCGGACCTCCAAATCGGAACATCACGGTGGCCTTCCGCTTCAACTCCCTGTTTTCCGCCTTTAGCACACTTATCTCTGCTCGCGCATCCTTATACATGCGTTGGAGGCAGAGCCAGCTGGGAGTTTAACTGCTGCACCTCATTTGCCCTACTCTGCAGCCGGTTCGACAAGTTTTGTCACCGCAGTCATGGTTTTCCAGACATGACTTCAGAGGTATACTGATTGGCCTCCACATCCGATTGCACCGCCATTTTTTTGCTCCACAGCCGCAATCGGAAAGTTCAACGGAGCAAAACCGGAAGCGCGTTGGTTTGATGTTTCACTGGCCACCGCACCCGTATCTCTTCTTGTTGACTCGTTGAGGTCAGCGAAAGAGAGTGAGCAGACTCCGGGAAGACGAGGCCATTTTCTGGGCAACAGAGTATTACAGACTATCTCTCGCAACAGAGTGTTCCAGATCTCTCTCTCAGCACAACGAAGAGTTTTTCAGAGAAATTCGCAGGTTTTTTGTCTCAGCCTCTAACCTCAGCCTCAGGTTCAGTCTTGGTTATATAGCTGAGGCAGCCACGCGCATCGCGCGCCTCTTGACGCCCGACAACTTGGCACGCCTTTTTGATGGCACGTCTTTTTATGGATTAGGCACGCCTTTTGATGGCACGCCTTTTTTTGGATTGGGCAGCCTTTTGATGGCAACGCCTTTTGAAAGATTGGGCACACCTTTTGAGGTGCGACTTTTTAAGGGTCGACAAGACTCTGTAAACTGTCCCCGAACATTGATTCGGTTAGTTTCTTACAATGGGTCCGACAAAGACTCTGTAAACTGTCCCGACACTTGATTCCGGTTAGCTCCTTTTAATGGGTCCGACAAGACTCTGTAACTGTCCGACATAGATTCCGGTTCGTTTCTACAAGGGTCGA